CACGAAAAGCTATAACCATTTGATAATTAATGCAGCTTACAGCTTTTCCTGAAGTAAGTTTATTTGTTTTCTGTGAGCTTTCAAACTCATATTTCCAGTCACAATTTGTGCAATTCAAACATAAAAGATAAGAAAATCCCTTATTTTTTTTTGAAATTGTTTGATAAAGTTACTGTTTTCTTACATTTAGGACAAAAAATAAATTTTACTAGCTCATTCTAAAGAATTGAAAAGTTTATTAAAATGTTATAATCATCGTTGTTACTAAATGAACTACTGCATTTTTTCTTTCTAAGTTTTCTTTCACTTGAACAAGGTTTTTCGATTTGCATGGTTTTATCATCAAGGTTGTTGTTTTTTGTGAATCTGTTACCTTTAAACTTCATCTTTTTCTTTGCTTTTAAAGACTTTGGCATTTTTAAAAACCAACAAATATACTTAATAAATGTTTTTATAATTCTAAATAAAATAAATAAATAAGGAACAGCACCAAACAATCAATTATTGTATTTGTAGTTAGGTGTCTACTTCACTTTAAAATTTGAAACTTGCAGTCGTGATTTAATGAAAATAATGTGATTTTAGCTAATGGATTTAAGAAATTTTATCAAAAACAACTTATTTGTAAGATTCAATGCGACCCCCTGTTTAAAAACATGGATATATAACTAAATTTTTGGGCAAAACCAAATCTTGCTTGGCGTTGCTAAGACGTTGCTAAGCGATTAAAATTATACCTGGTTTTTTAAAAACCTTATATCTCCTAATACTATTAAAAAAACATATCAAAGTTATACATATTTGAAACCAGCATTGATTTCTACATATATTGAAATAAAAATCCCAAAATCGTTTTTTTTATGATTTTAATGCTTTAGTACCACCTTAAACATTATGATTGCTTTTTTCTATTTATTTTCTTATTTATTATTATTATTCTTATTTTCCATAAAGTGAAGTAATATTTATTTGCGTATTAAAAACAGTTTTAAAATGTTAAAAAGAATATTTAAGTTTTGCTGAAATATATACAATTTAATAGAATATATAGAATTAATATGTTTATTATAGTTTTTTTGGTAATGCTGCGGAATAGTGGTGTTGCTACAAGGGAGTGTTGCTACATCGACTATCTTATAGCCTACTGCTACAAAGGAGTGTTGCTAGATCGACTATCTAATAGCCTGCTGCTACAAGAAAGTGCTGCTACATCGACTGAGGGCTTGGCATAGGGCAGCAATCTTTTTTCTTTCAATATTTAAAAAAATTATTGCTGTTTAAAAAGCCTCCACTGACGAGAGTGCAACAAGCAAAAAAATAAAACTATTTTATGCCGCTATTCTGCAACATTACCAATATGGTATTATTTTTAAAAGTTTTAAACAATAAATGTCAAAACAGCTTTTATTTTATTTTTAGCTCTTTTTATTTTTTTCAATTTGTAAATAAATTTAGCGAACTAAATTGAGAAAAATTCATTGTTTAGTATCAATGGATAACTATTTACAATCATTAGGTCATTGCATATTATTTATTATTAATCTGCGCGCACTTTGCAAATGCATGAAAAATTGTTTTAAAGAAATAAAAATTAGTTAAATTCAATAAGCATCATTGATATATCTAATAACTTTTTAACTAGAATAAAAATTATTTAAAAATAAAACTTCCTTGACATATATCTCTTAAAATAGATGTCTTTCGTCATTATATAAAGATACGAAAACCAACGTTCATTAAAAAGAAAACGATTTGTCACGCCCTGGGCTTGTAACAAGTATAATACCAAAAATTTGTAATTAAGAAAATTTTGTAATTAACAAAAAAAATTTTTTAATGAATAAACAGATTGCTCTTGCAAAAACTAAAAACTCTTCTAAGAAGCTGTTTAGAGGAGCAGCTCTCATAGCTTGCCATGTTTGTTTTAGGAGAGTTTTTTGCCACTCTCACACTCATTTTTTGCCGCCGAGGCCTGCACGCACTAAGAAATGCTCACAAGTTGGCACTGCTCACATGCTGAAATCTATTTTAAATATGTTTCAACTAATTAAAAATGTTAAAACAAATCATGTGACCTAATACATGGATAAAGTATATTTTTGTTAACCAATCATTGTTTAGAAATATTGTTTTAAAGTAACTTATCACACTCAGCAATATGAACCACATGACATATCACACAAAATAATTGGATAAAAACTAAATTCTAAAAAAACGCTAACAATTTTCAGAATATAAATTTAAGTATAATTTTTAATATATATATATATATATATAAATAATATATATATATATATATATATATATATATATATATATATATGTGTGTGTGTGTGTGTATATATATATAAATAATATATATATATATATATATATATATATATATATATATATATATATATATATATATATATGTGTGTGTGTATATATATATAATATATATATATATATATATATATATATATATATATATATATATATATATATATATATATATATATATATATGTATATATATATATATATATATATATATATACAATTTAGTAAAAACATATATATATGTATATATATATATATATATATATATATATATATATATATATATATATATATATATATATATATATATATATATGTATATATATATATATACATATATATATATATATATATATATATATATATATATATATATATATATATATATATATATATATATATATATATATATATATATATATATTATTTATATATTATACACACACACACACACACACACACACACACACACACACACACACACACACACACACACACACATATATATATATATATATATATGCGCCTTCTACAGAACCTCCTGGATTCAGGCAGGAATGGGAGCTTTTATTCCTTCTCGTCAGTTTTAAGTCAAGCCTCTTTCTACTCCATGGTTTTCTCCTTCTTGTGCGGCTGCTATATCCAATTGTAATCATTTTTTTCATCTTTTTCAAAAGAACAACTCTCTTGAGAACAGACTATTTATTATTGCAAGAAATCGATGTAAAAAAGTGCTTTCTGATGCTAAACTCCATTATTCTCAGTTCACTAAATCTCGCATCTTATCACAGAAGTTAGGCTCTAAAGATTTTTGGAAAATCTTCAACAGCATTATTAACAAGGGTAGATCTAACATTCTATTTCTCATTCATGGGACTGATCTTATTACATCTCCCAAGGATAAGGCAGAACTATTTGCAAAGAACTTTTCTTCTAATTCCACTCTTGAATCTTATGGACATTCTCTTCCTTCCATTCCAGTCAAACAGGTTGACCCATTGTTAGACATTTAAATCACTCCGGCTTCTGTTGCTAAAGTCATATCTCAATTAAACTCGTCTACAGCTAGTGGTCCAGACAACATTCCTGTCACAGTCTTGCAGAATTGTTCTCCAAAACTTTCTTCAATTCTCTCTTAACTATTTAACAAGTGTTTGACTGAGTCTTGTTTTCCTGCTTGTTGGAAAATGGCATCTGTGGTTCCAATATTCAAAAATTCTGGAGAAAATTCTGATCCCTCCAATTATCGTCCGATCAGTCTTCTTTCTGTTATTAGCAAGGTCTTTGAGTCTTTGATCAACAAATTCCTCTCATTTCATCTTGAGTCAAATAAACTACTGTCAGACAATCAATACAATTTTCGATCCTCTCGCTCTACGGCTGACTTGCTAACTGCTGTGACTGAAAGATTTTATCGTGCATTAGATGGAGGCGGTGAGGCTAGGGCTATTGCTCTCGACATATCTAAAGCTTTCGACAAAGTTTGGCATGCTGGTCTTCTCCATAAGCTTGCTTCATATGGTATTTCTGGAAAAGTTTTTGAGATTATCAAATCATTTCTTTCTAACCGGTTTATTAAAGTCATCCTTGAAGGCCAATACCCTTCTTTATTTCCAGTAACTTCTGGGGTTCCCCAAGGTTCCATCCTGGGCCCTGTTTTGTTTTTTATCTACATAAACGATTTTCCTGACAACCTTTCATCTAAAGTAGCTCTTTTTGCTGATGACTCAACTTTATACTCCTGTCTTGACAAAAAGTCTTCTCTTTTCGATCGCCTAGAACAAGCAGCTGATCTTGAATCCGATCTCACTTCAGTAATAGATTGGGGTTCACAGTGGCTTGTGAATTTCAACTCTAAAAAAATCCAGTTGCTTACTGCAAACAACTACCGTAATATGGTCAACATTCCTATATTAATGAATGGCAATCCTCTTACTCAGTCCTCCTCTTTACGTCTTCTTGGATATTTGCTTACTGCTGACCTTTCATGGAAACCATATATACAATCAATTGCTAAATTAGCTTCTGCTAAGGTTGCTTCTCTTTATCGTGCTTGCCATTTCCTTACTTCTGATTCCATTCTCTACCTCTACAAATCTCTTATTCGTCCCTGTATGGAATACTGTTGTCATATTTGGGCTGGTTCTTCTAACGATTCACTTTCTCTTCTTGACAAGGTCCAAAAACTCCCGTCTTCATGTTTTCCTGACTCATACAACCTCCAACTTTTCAAGTCTTTTGTCAACCGTTCCCTTGCTCTATAACTCTGTTCTTTTTTTTTTTCTTCCTAGTAACTCCCAACTTAATAGTGGTTGCTTGCAGCCTTGTTGGGAGTGAATGCAAATAGAAAAAATATATATATATATTATAACAATTGCTAGTTTTTTTATTTTTATAAAGTATATGAAATATATATGAAATGCTATATTTAGAAATTTTTAGAAATATGTAGAAATTTTTAGAAATAAATATTTTAATTAGCGTAATTGTTTAAACTCTTTAAAAAATCTCATATAAAATAATAACTCTATGAAAATTGGATATTTCAAAATATCAAAGGGTGGAATATTTTAGCTCCAGCTCCGGAGCCGCTCCAAAACCCTGGTTTTAAATATTTCTTAAATTATCGCCAATAATCATTAACTTATATTCTATAAAATAATCATTAAAAAAAATTACCAAATTCAGAAACCATAAATCTTGTATAGTTATTTACAACATAACATTCACCAAATGTTGAACAAGTACCACACTGATTAAATAAGTTACACTCTTGGTCAATGGCTTGATAGTTATTACATGTTTCATCTGGAATTCCATGATCATATGCATACTTGTAAACAGCTATCATTCCACCACCATGACAAGTTCCAGCATTTGCTAAAAAAAAAATAATTCTATTTTAAATATTTATTATTTGAATAACAAACTGCATGTATCAAATGCACAACAACAGTTAGTATGCAGTAAAATGTTAATTTAAGGAGTTGATTGAGGTTCATTCAAATATTGCATATATGGTTTGTATCTTGTATATATGGTTGTATATTGCGTATATGGATTGTAGACCTTTTCTAAATTACTTAATGCTATTAATTTGTTTGAAATATTTTTGAAAAAATTTACATCATTTACAATTTTTTTATCAAAAATTAGAAATAAAACATGGAAATATTATATATTATTCCAATGATAAGTTTTACTCAAAACAACCATTATTTATATCATAAAACTTTGTGCTGTAGATCTTTTTCACATTAACTTAGCTTATCTATATTAAGCTTAAATCTTGACAAATATATAGAGACACTCAAGAGATAAATAATGATACAAAAAATAAACACCACCAATTTTTCAAACTTTTAGCAAATCAGTATTCAAACTAACTTCAAACTTTAACCAATAGTAGAAAATAAAGATAAAATAAAGAATATATCATTTAAAAAATTTTTAATCAATTTTTAGATGCAAAAAAGTTTGAAAATGATATTTCAATGTTCCACTCGCATTTATCAACCAGAAAAACTTGAACTTTTTAAATCATAGGCATTTTAATAGAAATTTCCTTTTAAGTTTTTAACAGCTTTGCAACAAATTTTCATGCTTTTCACTAAATTTTTTTAGTTAAAATTTGAAGCAAATTTTTCAATATTCTCTTCCATACTTCAAGAATATTCAATTTCAGATCTTTAGACTGAAATTGTCTACCATTGACATATACATGTCTAGCCAAAGGTTTTTGATAAGATTAAAGTCAAAAACTTTTTAACGACTTACCAGGCTAGTCCAAATAAATTGAATTTTCAATCAGTCAATTTTCTGTTACCTTTTGATGTGTGAATATTTGTACCATTCTTGCTGAAAAATGAAATCTTCACTATAGTTGAGGTGTCCTAAATGGTTTAGGTGATTACATATAGTTATAATCTTCTGAGCTTTGATATATGATGCATATCTTTAATATGAGATTATGAGCTTTGATTACTATTTAAAATGCAAGTTAAGACTTGCCTAAAGCACTGAAAATACTCCAAATCATGACTGAACTTCAGCACTTGAAATAGTGGCCGATCAACAATCAATGATCATCTACTTTAAAAAAAAATGATACTTTGATCTCCCAAAATTAATTTTGGATGATCAAATTTGATCGGCAAGAACTGCAAGTCAAACTTTATATTAAAAATTTAAAAACATTACAAAACAAATGCCACAAAAACATTAAAAAGACAAAAGTAAAACATCAACACATAAACTTTAAAAGTAAAACATCGCTTAAAAGAGAAAAACAAATTTATATAACAAAATTTATAAAAACAAAAAGTTCATTACCTGTTAATGAACTATTTTGAATGAAATTAATTTTTTTTAATATATTGAATTTGCAATACATTTAGAAACAATAATGTTCCTGTGAAAAATTTTGAAAAATAATAAATAATGGGAGTTTATGATTGGTAGAAAGACTTGAAAACATTATAATGCTTTAGCAAAATAAAAATTTTTTGTTTAAAATTTTAAAAAAATAAGTTTTGGAAGTAAAATAATATCAAAAGTATAAAAATAATCATAAAATGGATGCAGGAAAAAAGCGACAGAAAATTATTTCTTTTAAAAAGAAATCAGGATCTAAAACACCCATTAAGAATAAAGTAAAAGTTTACAAAAGAAAGTTATAATTACAAATAGCTAATAAATGGAAAGGTTCTACGCTTGCAAAATATAATGCTAATGATTGGGTTGAAATGTTGATAGAATAATCACTGCGCTAAAATGCAGAATATGCCAAGAATATGCTTCTCAAATTCAAATTTTAAAAGGGTACATGCCAGAATGGACTGGTGGAAAACGATGCTATGATTGCAACACAGATCTGCAATCATACATGCAGAAGGAATGTTGCACCAAAAAGCTTTTGAAATATTTATGAAAACAAAAGGTATGAGTTAGAATTGAAAAACCAAAAAGCTTTTGAAATATTTATGAAAACAAGAGGTATGAGTTAAAATTGAAAAACCAAAAAGCTTTTGAAATATTTACGAAAACCAGAGGTATGAGTTAGAATTGAAAAACAATATGAGTCGCAGCAGGAAATGCGGCAAACAGATGTTTTATGTATTTAAACCATGCATCTTAAAAAAAACAACTGAATAATCGAAACTTTTTACTATTCTAATTGACGGTTCTAACGATGTTTTAATTATGGAAAAAGAGGTTATATTTATTGTCACCTTTAATCCAATCCCAACTGGAAAATTGGAAGTATGTGTTGAATGTGACTTTTTTTCACTTTCAGATGTTGGATATAGAACATTGCACAGAGTTTTTAACATGATAAAAGAATCACTTGAGAATATAGAAATTGAAAACTGCAATAACAAATTAGTTGGTTTTGGTACATATGGCGCATCTGTAAATAGAGGAGACAAATCAGGTGTTTAAATGTTGCTCACGGCTGAAATTCCATGGATCACATTTCGTTGGTGTGCAGCACATTGTCTCAAGTTATCATTAAAAGATAAATTAAGAAAGGTCTGAAAGTCATTTAATGACGATTGCATTATTTTAAGAATGTTTACAAAAAATCACCTAAAAAGTTAAGGCAGCTTGGTGAACTTGTATCTATTTTAGAAGATGATGAATATAACATTGATGGTTGCCGACCTAAGAAAACTTCCGGTATTATTTTGCTTGATTTATTTATGCTATATTATTTACAAGCCTTGTTAAGAAGCGTTTCCCTATTTGACGTACATATTCACAATTTCACATACATGTTTTGCAATTTACGTTACGCAAAAATTTTTTTCAGTAAGTTTATTTCAAACAGTCTTTAAAAACAGATTATGCGGAAAACATTAAACTGTAATTAATTGTTGTAAAAAATATTTGTGGAATATTTTTTTTATTAGATAAAAAACAGATAAATATCCTTTTTTCTATTTTCCATTTTTAAAAAAAAAAATATTTTTAATTTATTTTATAAAATCTAAATAAATTTTATTACTATTCATAGTTTTATTAATTTATTTGATTAAATTTAAATAAAATTCTTTTAAAAATTTCAAAGCGCATAATTTTTTTTACAGATAAAATTTCCAAAATTTGTGTTAAAGTAAAAAAAATAATAATAAATTTAATTCAAGTTACTTTAAAATGTTCACATTACATATAACTTCATTTTAATTTCAGTTAAGTTTCAGGTAAGTTCCAGTTCCAAATACTGGTCTAAATAATGCGCTTTTCTAGTTAATAAATGATGTCAATACAAAAAAGTTCTTTCAAACTCGAGTTTAAATGTTAGGCTTGGGTTTTCCTTTTGCCATTAAATTTTATGTAGAAGAATTTTTTTTATAAAACGAACCAAACTTTAAACCAATAAAAAATAATGTGATCAATAAATAAACTCTTTAAAAGCCTAACTTATTTTAAAAAGCCTAATTTTATTTTAAAAACAAAACTAATACTAGTGTTATAAATATAAGATACATAAATTTCAAAATTATACTAATATTTGTTAAAAAAAAGATCTGCTAATAACATCTTAAAACCAAAAATACTATTTTTCTTTTTGAATTTAGTAAGCAATAGTAAAAATACATTAGGTTTTACGGTACATAAAAATAAAATATTTTAGTGGAAATAAAAAAAAAGCTGAAAAGCGGTAATTTTTGTTTAATTACAATTTTTATTTTATCAAAAGCCAGTTAGTGCAAAAGTTTATTTTAAAAAGGAGAAAACCCAATCTAATTGTGTAGTAAGTACACTTAAATCCCTTCAAGAAAATCAACCATAAACAAGTGTCCCCTCATTTAAAAAAAATAACCATAAAAAGAATGTTTTAAAGAAAAAAAATTAAGTTTAAATAAGTATAAGATTTTAAAATTAGGAAATTTTTTTTTAATCAACATTTATATTTTTTTTATAACAATATTCTTTATTTTAAAGATATTTCCAGGGCCGCCGACACGGAAGGGGGGTAAATCAGGCCTTGTTATGAGAAAAAATCTCATAACAAGGCCTGATTTACCATTTTAGTTATGCATGATGGATATGCTAATATTCTTAAATTTGTTGACTATAAAGTAAAATATAAATTGCAAAAGTTTCATTTTTAGGTACACGATGGATTGCATATATAGTTCGGGCTTTAGAGATGATAGTAGACAAATACGGTGTTTATTTAACACATCTGGAAAATATGAGGGAAGATCGCGCTTTTACAAATGCTGAACAAGCTACATTTAAAGGATACCACACGAAGTGGGTTCATGCATGAATACCGCTTTACATTGCATTGTTTATCAAAATTTTAGCACTGGCAAAAATAATGTCAAAATCTTTTCAAAGTGATAAGATTGATATATTAGCTTAATTAGGGTTTATTCAACAAGCTAAAAACCAATTAAATTGTATTCAAAAGACAAAATTTATCAATTTGCCAACAGTAAAACATTCACTTGCCAAAGTGACCAAAAAGGCTGGAAAGTTTTATTTCCAGCGTGTCGCACTTAACAATTTTGTAAATGCTAAACATCTAGTAAAAAATTCAAAGTCTATTCTTATTGAGTTAGTAACGAATTCAATTATAGAACGTTTTGAAACATGAGATAATATCCCTGATATGTATAGTACAAAAATTTTAAACACAGAAGGCTAACTTCAAAGTATTGAAAATGATGCATTCTTGGATAAAAGGAATAGAAAAAGTTTATGATTTACAAAATGTTGTTGCAATATGCTGGTTTCATCAGAAGCACAAATGATGTTTTGGACACTTGGCATAGCTTAGTAAACCACACTAAGTAGTACTTAGTACCACATAATACCGGTTTACGCAAGATATGGCACCAAATATTCTCCAGCTAAATGAAAAATGA